TGAAGAGAACTTCCATTTGTAATCCGCCTTATGATATTTTTTTTCCACGCACGTTGAATGCTGGAGCCCGGTTTGTTTGCTGGAGAGAACAGGAAACTTTTCATGGAGGTGCTGCTGCCAAGAAGTTGCATTCCTAGGAAAGCAACTCCCAAGGCCACTAGTGTTTATTTTCAACAGCACTTTTTAGCAGCTTTCCGTGGTCATAAAGATGCTGGTATTAATTCCATCTTCCTGCCTAAGGTGCGTGTGATTGCTGGAGGCATCTTTTGTAGTGGCTCAGTCACTTTTTGATTTATAGGGTGTACCTCACGCTGCATTGCAGTTGCTGGCAATCTACTTTTTTCCTCAGATTATGGTGTTTGGAGGAGCCTCTGTGACCTTCATGCTGCTGGTTGTATGGTTGGGACCATTGCTTTGGCTTGCTCTTTGTTTGCCTACGCTCAAGGAAACATTTTGCACGAAGAGGAAGGCAGGTAAGCTGTGATTTTTTTTTTTTTTTTTTTTTTTTTTTTCCCCTGCACGAATTCAGCACACCAGGCCATCTCCTTCTGATGGTCACCTTGCTAAACTTTCTTTGCTGAGCTGCTGCAGTGAGTGCTATTGGTCCAGGGAAGTCAAACCAAGGAGGGACCATAGTGCTCCAAAACAGCAATTTGTTGGACAAGAAGAGGGAACAGTTGTGATTGCTTGCCTGATGTGGCAGTTCGATTTAACTGGGGACAGTTCAGGCTTCCCAAGACCAGGGCACAAGCTTTGTGTTCTATTGCTGGAGATGTAGGCATTAATGTTTAAAAAACTCTTGAGGTGATGCCATACGCCTGTTTATTTGGCACGGGCAGCCGAGTGCTCGGAACTGCTGGGGACTGAGGGGGAAGGAGGATTCCTCACCTGGACATTTAGCTCTTGCTTGAACTAGGTGCTTGCTGGGAATTGAGGGGAAGCTCTGGCAGCTACTGCGGCTGGTTATGGTCTGGAACATGGGGATGCTGCTTTGCTCTGTGCTAAGGAGGGAAACAAGCTGTGGAATGTAAGTTGAGCAGTGGAACAAAAAGTGGAAGCAGGAGTTTCTGCAGCTGTATAGCTGGATCCCGTGTGTGTGTGTGGATTTGTGGTGGGAGGCAAAGCTACTCCATGTAAATACCTTTAGAATTATAATCCTAGCAAAATACATTGAACTTCTCCAAAAGGAGGCAGTGCATACTTACACTGATGTTCTGGAGGGAAAACTTGCCATTTTTAAAGGTAAATATCTGTTTGTATTATTTTCTGATCTGTTTTTTTGTTTGGCTTTTTACTTTTTAGAGAGTTGTCTGGTCTGGTGATTATTATAATATGGATGAGTCTTTGTCGCAGTTCAGCAAAGTAAGTATTGTTTCTTTTTTTTTTTTTTTTAATCCATTCATGTGTTCACATTTAGCAACTAGCTTCCTGAAAACACAACTTGATTTTGGCTGCTTGTTTTTCTGCTTCACGTCACTCTCTGAACCTTTTCAGGTACCTAAGCACCAGTAGCTGGTGCAACAGCCTGTAAGATCTTGCACAGGTGAAGGTCTGTGGGGGGACAGTAAAGCTACATGGAACATTTTCTCTGCTCATCCTGCCGTAACAGGCAGGCAGTGTTCTCCCTTTGCACAAGGACAGGGTGCTCCTTCTGTGGAACAGGATACGGAACGTTGGCCACAACTCTTAATGAACTGCAAAGCCATTTCTGCCATTGCTCCCAACTTACAGAACTTTCCAGGGAAGGTCTCTGCACTGGTGTCCGCTGCTTCCACCGGAGCAGGCAGGAGAGGCAGGCAGAGCTGGCAGAAGGCTCTGGGTGGGTGCCTGGCTGCAGAGGCTCCACACTTTAGAGGAGCCACACTCCAGCCTCTTCAGAGGACCGTGCTATGGCCATTTTGCTAAATTGCTGTTAGCTGGGAGCATAAAGAATCCCAATCTGTCAAAGAGTACCCTTGTGCTGGGAAAACATGTCACAGATGCTCTGGGCAAGCAGGGTGCTTTTTAGGTAGCCTGAGGTTGCGGAACAACTTTTTCTGATAGCACGTGGTGCCTCTCCAGTAAAGGATTCTGCTGATACATCCACAGGAGCTACATCAAAGTAGCCAAAGGCTCTCTGCTGTGTTTGCAACTGCAGACAGGTATGAATGTTTCGTAGCAGTCTGATTTGAAGTAGCTCTGTTGCGTTTGCTTCTTTATAGGAGTCCCCTGGGTGGAGTTCGCTTGATTGTTGCAATCGTGGTCGCCCTCTTCCCGTTTATTTCGTGGCTGTACATTTATGTGAACAAAGAGATGAGAGCATCGTGGCCAACCCACTGTAAAACAGTGATTTAATTGGGTGGGAGAAAGTAGAGAATAAATATTCTGACCTTACTTGCCTTTGCTTTTGGTTCTTAATGAAAGGTTACTACCAATTTGGTTGCCTGGCTGCTTCCAGCAGTGCGGTTTGAGATTTGTTAAAAACTTGAGGAACACTGTCAAATATGAGTCTGTTGTTCAGCTGGCTTCTTCAGACATTTTCCAAGCACTGTTCATCTACTGTGTGTTCTAATGGTATAGTCAAGATATCCTGGCATCCCTGGATCACTCTCCAACCACCTCGCACTTTTGGAAAATCTACTGTTCTGTAACATAAGGGAAAAGTAAAGCAAACACTTTGTTTCAATAAACGACTATTTACACTCATAAAAATTCCAGATATCTGCCTGGATAGTCCATTGAGATACTGAAAAATTGAGCAGTCTGTGTTTCTGTTCCTATGCTAAAATCATATGTAGAATATAACTGAAGAAACATTTTTGCTATTATCTTTAACTGAAAATTACTGGTTTTACAGAGTAATAAATACTATTTTTCTAAAGACAATTCACTGAAAGCTTCCGTATCTTTATTTTCTGTGAGGTGTGTACTCAGGACTGCCACCAGCAAACGTGGTCGCTGCTACAACTCTCCTTCTCGTAATTTCTGTTCCTGGAAAGCAGAACCCACACGGCAGCCCAGCAACAGTAAGCATGTTCCACTGCTGCTAATTCTGGAGAAGGAAGCAGGTGAATACACTGGACACACAAGCCTGCTGGGAGAGAGCCAGAACAGGTCCAGAAGCAGCACAGCAAAGTGTGTGCTTTAGATCCTTCTCCACCAGGGCTCCTTCACTCAGTACTGCGGCAGGGTAACACAGCTGTGCATCCATAGATCTCAGCAGGTGTTATCTGCACCGTTACCTGATGTAGCATAGATGGGCTTCATTTACCTTCATTTAGCTTTTTCTGAAGATTGTTTTAGTCTTTTAAAGAAACATTAAGAAGACTGCATTAGGCTACAGGGTAGACTAATTCTGCCAGACATGAGATACTACAGACTATGAGGTTTAAAAAAAAATAAACTGAAATGCAGCTGGGCAGGTACAATTCTGCATGCTTTAATTCTGACTGATATGCAAAAAGTCCCTTTTTTTTTTTGACAATATTCATAATATGGTTTGCATTTTTTCACAGTAAGTAACAATCCGGTCAGGATTGTGTGTTCCAAATCACAGATGGCCCTCCAGTGTCTGACGAGAGGAGCGTAGGCAGGTACCGTCGGCCTGCTGCCTCAGGGATAGTAGGGGGTGGTATGTGTAGTCAGGGGCAATACACCAGTTGCATTGAGGTAAAAGAAAATCCCATAAATAACGGCTCAGGAATTAAAGCTACCCCCCTAGGGGTGCACTGGGGTCGAGAGCCCAACTTACGTGCTTCTATACGAACGCACGCAGTATGGGCAATAAACAAGAGGAACTGGAAGCTCTTGTTATCCGGGGAAACTATGTTATAGTTGCCATCACAGAAACATGGTGGGATGACTCGTATGATTGGAGCGCTACCATGGATGGCTACAAGCTCTTCAGGAGGGATAGGAGAGGTAGAAGGGGTGGTGGGGTTGCCCTGTATGTAAGGGAAGGTCTAGAATGCTTAAGAGTTTAATGTTGGGGATGACTTGGTGGAGTGTCTGGGTGAAAATCAAAGGGGGGCCTATGAAGGCGGATATTGTAGTGGGAATCTGCTACAGGCCACCCTATCAGGACGGGGAGGCTGATGAACTATTTTTTAAACAACTAGGGGGAGCCTCGCGCTCACCAGCCCGTGTCCTTGTGGGTGACTTTAACCTACCTGATGTCTGCTGGAAGTATAACACGGCAGTCAGGAAACAGTCTAGGCAACTCCTACAGAGTGTGGAGGACAACTTCCTATCACAACTGGTCAGTGAACCGACTGGAGAAGGTGCTCCCCTAGACCTGCTGTTTGTGAACAGAGAAGGTCT